GTCAAATTCCAGTGCAGAGCACTATTTTTCAATTATACATGAACATACATGTATTCATTGTCACATTCCTTTCTCTGTGAGCTACCATAAGATCTTGTGTATATTTTCCTGTGCTATACAGTAAAATCTTGTTTATCTCTTTCCCTCTTTCTTTTTTTCATTTTCCCAAGTTTCAGACTCCTGCAATATTTACAAATTATCTAAATTATTGTAAACTGATTATACTTCAAAAAATATATATATACAAAAAATAAAAAACAAGATTTTTATGGAATTTCTATTCTGAATTAACTTAAGACTGATGCTTCTAAGCCTTGGCAAAATGTACCAAGAAGTTTGAAATCAAAGTAGAAGATCAGTCACTGGAGCTGACAGCCGAAGCAGTCAATTTTACTCTGAAAGATTTGGTTGGTCTTTCTTTCTTCCTTTTTTTTCTAAAAGAATAAACATTTAGACCATTCTTGCTAGGAAAATCTTAATTTCTGGAATCATTATAGGATGACGAGTTTAGTCCTGGAATGAACTTTGTAAAATTTGGGTGGTGAATTGCTCTGAATATACATGGTGTGCTATTGGCAAGATGAAAAGTTGGAAAGTAGCATTCCAGAAGGGATAAAGCATCTGAATATGATATTAGAAGATTTTATGATATTATATTTCTAGGTAGTTTGGACTTCCTGAGTTACTTAAGAACAATTTTCTTTCCATCAAGAAATATCTTAGTCAAATCTCTTTGGGTTACAAGTGAGAGAAATGAATGTAAACTTATTAAGGTGAAAGGAGATGTTTTATATGTAAGGCAGGATGACCCGCCAAAGAAATTAGGTGCTTTCTCCTTCCTTCTCTCAAAGACTAGCAAGAGATGGCACCTCTGTTTTGGAGATCTGATATATCCATCCTTTGTACTTGGGGGGAAGATTTACCAAAGTCGGGTTTTTTTTAAGATAATTTATATGCAATAAAATTTATCAATTTAAAAAGCACAGTTTGATGAGCTTGACAAAGACAGTCACGTAACTGCAGTCACAATCATGACACAGAACATTTCTGTTGCCCCCGAAGTCCCCTGCATCCCCCTTTGTGGTCAGTCCCTTCCCCTACCTGGCTCCCTGACAGCTCTGCTTTCTGTCACAGTTTTGCTTTGTGTAGAATTTCACATGAATGGGCTCTATAATATGTATTGTCTGTGTCTGACTTCTTTCACTTAATATAATTCTTTTCAGATCATCCATACTTGCATATTTCAGTGGCTCTGCCTTTTTATGTTGAGTAGTTTTCTCTTGTACAGATACACAACAATCTATCTATTCACGAGTTGTTACATATTGGGGTTGTTTCTAGCTCTGAATAAAGTACATGCTTTTGTGTGGACTTATTTTTTTTCATTTCTTGTGGGTAAATACCCAGGATTGAGATTGCTGGGTCACTGAGTAAGTGCGTATTTAATTTTACAGGAAATGATCAAATTTTCCCTAAGTGGGTACGTCGTTTTGCATTCCCACCAGCAACGTATGAGAGTTTCAGTTATTCAACATCTTTACCAACACTTGGTGTTGTCAATCTTTAATTTTAGCCATTCTAGTGAGCATGTAGCAGTATCTTAATGTGTTCCCCTCGCCCCCACAGTTTTATTGCAATATGATTGCCATGTACAATTGTATTAATTTAAGGTGTATAACATAATTATATGATATATGTATATATTGTGAGATAATTATCACAACAAGTTTAACATCCATCATTTCACATAGTTACAACTTTGCTCTTTTGATGAGAACTTTTAAGATCTACTTTCTTGGCAACTTTCAAAAGTATAATACACTATTATTAACTATAGCCACCATGCTGTATGTTACATTCCCAGAAGTTATGTATCTTATAACTGGGAATTTGTATCTTTTGACCACATATGAAGAGATCAATTTTATTCTGAAAGGTTTTGGGCAATCTTTGAAGTTTTCAAAATACTTAAATGTGAGAAAAACTGCTCTTCATATGAGATCACAGGTAACAAGAAAATCTTACACTCAGGCTCACAGCGAAAAAAACTAATAGTAAAACAAATTGAAGTAATTAAACAGTAAGATTTGAAAAACAGTTATTGGATGTTGAACTGGAAGACTGTACTTCAGGAAAATGGAAAATGGGATGGCTGAGATTCCATGATCAGACCAGGCTCAATAG